ACACATTATTATTAAAATTAGCCTCTTTCAGCATTAGCACTATCTACCACTGGAGTAAGTGAAGGATGCAAACATTTTGGGGTACTGTAGAACATGACCATGTGGTGGAACTGAATCTCCATATATGACATTATTTTTTATTTCTATGCTGATCCCTAATCTGTATTTATATGTATATAACAGCAGCAGCAGCACATAGCTTTTATAGAAGCAATTATTTCACCCATCATGTATGGTTGACTGTGGGTTTTTTTAAACTTTTTTTTTTTTTGTTAAATCAGTTCCTGGCTCTGAGACAGCAGGCTGCTGAATGCTTCCTGGTACAGCATGTAAATGCTCTTATTGCCTAGTCTATATATATATATTTTTTTATTTGGAAACAACATTTATATATTTATATATAAACAACATTCATATTTAAACTTGTTTTATATTATATTATGAAAACCTAGTTTATGAAATTAACTGGGATTACGTCTCTGATCTGATTAAAGTCAGTACAATATCATTGTTCTAATTTCCTTACTGCTACCACTGCAGGTACAGTGGGATAGTACCACTGATTTAAGTAAGCTTTCCCTTTTAATATTGGTGGACTTTAATCCTTCTGCCATTGCAATGGAATAAAGTAAGCAAAGCTATTATGTGTAGGAAATGTGCACTTTAAATAATAGAATACTTATGCTATTCTAATGAATTAGGTCACTGTGGCTTAACCCATCATTTAGTGTCTTTTGGTCACATTTAAAGCTGTAAATGTATTTAACATTTCATTTAAATAAACCTGTCAAAAATTTCAGTTTAAAGGTTATCAGAGATACTGTATATTTACAATTTTATTTTTCTCTGATTTATCTTATATATATATATATTATTTTATAAATATTTATTTTTAAAGAGCATTTAGAGACGCAAAGGATGTATAGCAACCTGTTGCCCTTCTGTTATATTTTTTTTTATATTAACAGATTTTCTGGGGGGAGTATAATTGCAACTGTTTATGTAAAAATATAAGCTAGTTAGCATATATTATATAAAATATATGCTGCAGTATACTGCATTGCACTGCAATGAATGCTTTTAAAAGCCATGTCTTTCTCTTTATGGCTGTATGTAATAAAGTTGTTCATAATTTGGAATATAAAAAAATTACTTCTCAATTCCTTGGAATTGTTTATTTGTTTCTAACTCCATGACTTTGTCTGAAAATCCCAGACGCCAAAAATAGTTATGCTGTTATAATTCCTGATTTTTTTTAATCAACAGCAAGTGTAACTGACAATACGGATATTATCACTGTTTTATAAAACTTTTCATATATAGTGGATATTACAATCCAGAAGGCAGTAATGCAATAATTAAAAATCCTGTCTGTTGCTTCTGTGGCATGAATGGTTTCATTAAGCCATAATGCAATTTTCTTTGCATTCTTGGAAGTAGACTTCAAAATCTATTAGTAATATAATATCAAGTGTTGCTTTCATCGCTTTGTCTTTTTACTTTTCTCTTGACAACATCTTGCATTATTTTTTTTTCTGTGCATTATGCAGCTACAGAGAAAACATGGCTGCCCCCTTCCTACAACCCACTGTCCTGGAACTAATGAACCATTCTGTGCTGGTGTATTAGGCATATTAGGGAGTTTACCAAATATGTATATATGTTCTCTTACGATATTAATTAAGATCCACAATTTCAGCATTGTATGCTAATTACAATGTATCTTGTGCCTGAACTGCAAGTGCCTTGTACAAGTTCACATAAAATCATCTCTTAATGAAGATCTCTCTCTGAGTCTGGGCTAAAACTAGCTCAATAAATTCTTGATATTTTAAGACCTGTGCCATGACAAAGTATTGTGTCTTCTCTTATAAATATAAGAGGCTATACCTAGGTATATATTATTTTATAGTTAAAGCTTCCAAGTACAAGCCCCACTTTGAGCGCCAATTGTAACCGCAGCTATTTCCTTATTTACCACTATAACTTCTTAAAGCATAGAACTTAGCAGGGCTAACCATACAGATATCTTTAGCCGTAGATTGTATAGTTAGCAAGAGATCCTCTATTTACAATATATAAATAATTGAGAATACAATATAAAATAAGGATTGTCTTGGAAGCAATAAAAATGGTGTAAACGGCATTCTTCATTTCTGGTCTTATACATTTTATTTAGTCTCCTCTATTCGGAATTTCAGATCGAGTCTCTATTTAGATTTACATATGGTCTCAAAGGCAATGTGGGCCCAGTAAACCAATCAGGCAAACAGAAATTGGAAAGCCCTAAATTTGTCCCTTTAACTTTCCAAAACCCCATGAAACCTGTACATATTGGGTACTGTTGTACTTTGCTGAACACAAATATGAGTGTTTTAGAGCACTATCACTTGTGATGATGATGATATCAGTAAAAGCGCAGTTTTTGGGTGAAAAATTAAAACATTTTTTATGAAAACTAACTTTGGCTAGGGTTTGTGACTAAGTGGCTACTACAAAAGACCAGACTTGCCCAATGCTGAATACCCTAGGTTGTCTACTTTTATGAATAGTATGCCATGATGGGGGTAATTCTCATTCCTCGCTGCCATACAGTCTCAAAGGGAGCATGAGCCCAGTAAACCAATCAGGCAAACAGAAATTGGAAAGCCCTAAAGTTTTCCCTGTTACTTTCCAAAACCCTATGAAACCTGTACATTTGGGGTACTGTTGTACTCGTAAGACTTCATTGAACACAAATATGAGTGTTTTAGAACACTAAATCTTGTAATGATGATGATATCATCAGTAAAAGCACAGTTTTTTTTTTCTTACCCCATTCTGAATACTCTGGATTGTCTAGATTTGTGAATGGTATGCCATGATGGGGGTAATTCTCATTCCTGGGCTGCCATACAGCCTGAAAGGCAGCATAGGCCACCTAATCAATCTTACAAACAGAAATGGGAAAACCCTATATTTGTCCCTGTAACTTTCCAAAATCCCATAAAACCTTCACAGGTGGGTATTGTTTTACTCGTGAGACATCGTTGAACTCAAATATGAGTGTTTTAAAGCAGTAAAACTTATAATGATATTGATATCATTAGTGAAAATATTTTTTTTTTACAAAAAAATGGAAAAATGAATATGATCGCTAATTGTGGTCAGGGTTTGTGACTAAGTGGCTACTAAAAAAGAATGGACATACCCCATTTTGAATACCTTGGGTTATCTACTTTTGCAAATGGTATGCCACGATGGGGGTATTTCTCATTCATTAGCTGCCAAACAGTCTCAAATGCACCATAACCAATGTGTCAAATTTCAATGTGTAAAAATGAAATGGGCAAGCCCTGTATTTGACCCTGTAACTTTCCAAAACCCTATAAAACCTGTACATGCATGGTATTGTTTTACTCATGAGACATCTTTAAACACAACGATGGGAGGGAGGAGGAGGCCGTTTTTTTACAGTTTTTGTATGAAAAATGCAAAAAAAATTAATGCTAACTTTGGCCACGGTTTGTGACTAAGTGGCTACTAAAAAATACTAGACATACCCAGGGGCGGACTGAGAGCCTTTGGCGCCCCCGGGCAAAATTAGATCCCAGGCCCTTTGAAGGCCAAATATATGTGCATTAAATAAATGTTAAATATAACTCATAATACGGCATTCCTTTGGATGTGTATATTGTGAAGACCTGTGTATCAATGCATGTTTGTATTTGAGTCTGTGTGAATGCAGTTGTGCATGTCTGGATGACTACATGTGCTTTTTTGTATATAGTGTCTGTGTGAATGCATATATGACATGTGACAGAGTGTGTGAAGGAGAAGGTGACAGGTGGAAGAGTGTGGGAGGTTGTGACAGGTGGCACAGTGAGGGGGTACCTGGTGGCAGAGTGAGGGAGGGAGGGGTTGAGTGGTGGCAGAGTGAGGGGGAGACACAGTGAGTGGGGGTGACTGGTGACAGAGTGAGGGAGTGGGTGACTGGTGACAGAGTGAGGGAGTGGGTGACTAGTGACAGAGGGTGGGAGAGGGGGGTGACTAGTGGCAAAGTGAGGGAGGGAAGAGGTGACTGGTGACAGTGAGGGAGTGACTGGTGACAGAGGGAGAGAGTGACTAGTGACAAAGGGAGGTAGTGACTAGTGATAGAGGGAGGTAGTGACTAGTGAGGGTGGGGATGACTCACTAGTCACCCCATCCCTCTCTCTGTCACTAGTCACTCCCTCCCTAACTCTGTCACTGTGTCACCCGCTCCCTCACTCTGTCACTAGTCACCCCTTCCCTCCCTCACTCTGTCCCTACTCACCCCCTCCCTCTCTCTGTCACTAGTCACACCCTCCCTCACTCTGTCACTAATCACACCCTCCCTCACTCTGTCACTATTCACACCCTCTCTCTCTCTCTCTGTCACTAGTCACACCCTCCCTGACTCTGTCACTAGAGTGAGGGGGTGATTAGTGACAGTGAGGAAGGGGGTGACACAATGACAGAGTGAGGGAGGGGGTGACTAGTGACAGAGTGAAGGAGGTGGTGACTGTCACTAGTCACCCCATTCCTCCCTCTGTCACTAATCACAACCTTCCTCACTCTGTCACTTGTCACCTCCTCCCTCTCTCTGTCACTAGTCACACCCTCCCTCACTCTGTCACTAGTCACCCTCTCCCTCTCTCTGTCACTAGTCACACCGTCCCTCACTCTGTCACTAGAGTGAGGGGGTGACAGGTGACAGAGTGAGGGATGTGGTGACTAGTGACAGAGTGAGGGATGTGGTGACTAGTGACAGAGTGAGGGATGTGGTGACTGTCACTAGTGACAGAGTGAGGGAGGTGGTGACTGTCACTAGTCACCCCATTCCTCCCTCTGTCACTAATCACAACCTTCCTCACTCTGTCACTAGTCACCCCCTCACTCACTCTGTCACTAGTCACCCCCTCACTCTAGTGACAGAGTGAGGGGGTGACAGGTGACAGAGTGAGGGAAGGAAGGGGTGACTAGTGGCAGAGTGAGGGAAGGAAGGGGTGACTAGTGGCAGAGTGAGGGAAGGAAGGGGTGACTAGTGGCAGAGTGAGGAAGGGGGTGACACAGTGACAGAGTGAAGGAGGTGGTGACTGTTACTAGTCACCCCATCCCTCCCTCTGTCACTAATCACCACCTCCCTCACTCTGTCACTAGTCACCCCATCCCTCCCTCTGTCACTAGTCACCACCTCCCTCACTCTGTCACTAGTCACCCCCTCTCTCACTCTGTCACTAGAGTGAGGGGGTGACTAGTGACAGAGTGAGGGGGTGGCAGAGTGAGGGAAGGGGTGACTAGTGGCAGAGTGGGGGAAGGAAGGGGTTACTAGTGACAGTGAGGGGATGATTGGTGACAGAGTGAGGGAGGTGGTGACTGTCACTAGTCACCACCTCCCTCACTCTGTCCCTAGTCACCCCTCCCTCACTCTGTCCCTAGTCACCCCTCCCTCTGTCACTAGTCACCACTTCCCTCCCTAACTCTGTCACTAGTCACCACTTCCCTCCCTCACTCTGTCACTAGAGTGAGGGGGTGACTAGTGACAGAGTGAGGGAAGGGGTGACTAGTGGCAGGGTGAGGGAAGGAAGGGGTGACTAGTTACAAAGTGAGGGAGGTGGTGACTGTCACTAGTCACCACCTCCCTCTGTCACTAGTCACACCCTCCGTTCCTTACTCTGTCACTAGTCACCCCCTAACTCACTCTCACTAGTCATCCCCCTCGCTCACTCTGTCACCAGTCATCTGCTTACTCTGTCACCAGTCACCCCTTCCTTCCCTCACTCTGCCACTAGCCACCCCTTCCCTCACTCTGTCACCATTCATTCCCTCACTCTAGTGACAGAGTGAGGGAGGGTGTGACTAGTGACAGAGTGAAGGAGAGGGTGACTAGTGACAGTGAGGGAGTGATTAGTGACAGAGTGGGGAAGGGAATGGGTGACTAGTGACTGAGGGAGGGTGTGACTAGTGACAGAATGAGGGAGGGTGTGACTAGTGACAGAATGAGGGAGGGTGTGACTAGTGACAGAATGAGGGAGGGAGATGGTGACTAGTGACAGAGTGAGGGAGGTGGTGACTGTCACCCCATCCCTCCCTCTGTCACTAGTCACTCCCTCCCTAACTCTGTCACTAGTCATCCCCTCACTTTGTCACTAGTCACCCCCTCCCTCTGTCACTGTGTCACCCCATCCCTCCCTCTGTCACCCCATCCCTCCCTCTGTCACCCCCTCCCTCACTCTGTCACTAGTCATACCCTCCCTCACTCTGTCACCAGTCATACCCTCCCTCACTCTGTCACTAGTCACCTTCTCCCTCACTCTGTCACTAGAGTGAGTGGGTGACGACCAGTGACAGAGGGAGGGAAAGGGTGACTAGTGACAGAGTGAGGGAGGGAAAGGGTGACTAGTGACAGAGTGAGGGAGGGGGTGACTAGTGACAGAGTGAGGGAGGGGGTGACTAGTGACACAGTGAGGGAGGGGGTGACTAGTGACACAGTGGGGGGTGTGACTAGTGACACAGTGGGGGGTGACTAGTGACACAGTTAGAGGGGTGACTAGTGACACAGTGAGGGGGGTGACTAGTGACACAGTGGGGGGTGATGAAGTGACACAGTGAGGGGGTGAGTAGTGACACAGTGAGGGGGTGAGTAGTGACACAGTGAGGGTGACTAGTGACAGTGAGGGGGTGATTACTGACGGGGTGATTAGTGACAATGAGGAGAGGTTAGTGACAGTGAGGGGGGGTGACTAGTGACAGTGAGGGGGGGTGATTAGTGCCTACCTGTCTCTCTGCTTCCTCTTCTGTCCCTGGCTGCTGCTCCTTCCCCTGCTGGCTGATCGGCTCTGTGTGTGAGAGAGGTGTAAACAGGAAGTGATGTCACTTCCTGGCCCCGCCTCTCCCATCACACAGAGCACCGCGGGACAGGAAGAAGGAGACCTGGCAGAGAGGCGGTGAAGCTGCCAGGTCTCATGGGGGGGGAGTGATTTACAGAGCGGTAGGTTGTGGGGCCCAGCGCTGCATCAGGGGCCCCACAACCTAGCAATTAAATTAAATAGTTTTATTTTCGTTCCAGTTAGAGAGATCTCTGATCTCTCCAGCTGGAGCATGGCTGTGCTGCCGGGCCCCTGACTGCCTTGGGCCCTTGGTCCATGACCGAAGTGCCCGAGTGGTCAGTCCGCCCCTGGACATACCCCATTTTGAATATCCTGGGTTGTCTAATTTTGCAAATGGTATGCCATGATGGGGTTAATTTTCATTTCTGGGCTGCCATACGGTCTCAAAGGTAGCATAGGCCCAGCAAACCAATCAGGCAAATTTCTATGTGTAAAAATTAAAAAGGGAAAAGCCCTATATTTGACCCTAAAACTTTCCAATACCCCATAAAACCTGTACATGGAGGTGTACTGTTGTACTCATAAGACATCGCTGAATACAAATATGTGTATTTTATTGCAGCAAAAACTAACAATATTATGACATTCTCAGTTAAAATGCCATGCAGAACTTGAAAAATAACAATGTCTTCATTTCTCAAAGTTCTTAAAATTTTGTTCATAATAAATTATTTAAAAATTATTTTTGCCCAGTTTCTCCTGAACAAAATTCTATATAATAAGTGTGGGTGCATTTAATATGAAAGAGATAAATTATAATTGAACAAACATACAGCGCAAATTCCAGGTTTTGTTTACGTTTTGTTTTGATCAGAATGTGTATAATTGACTCCGTCCTGAAGGGGTTAAGGTGTGATGTTTAGAAAGACTCACTGTCTGTCTCATAGTTTTCTCAGGTTGGAAGTGGCATTATGCCCCTCCCTTTTTTCTTGCTGCAGTGCATGCTGGGAGAAGGAGGATGTACTGATCATTAGTAAGAAGCAGCAATCTTGTCTGTTAACTGAATTCAGCCAACCTGGGAAGACACGGAGATACTGGTTATGTTAGGAAACTGTATAGTGTATATAGTAAGAAAGCCTTGTGTTGACTCATGCTCTATACAGTAAGTAAAACACTGCCTCTGGAGTGAGACCTCATGCCCATGGCCGTCTTTATTGAGGGGCAAACAGGGCAGCTGCCCCAAGCCCAGTTACTCCTGGGGGGCCCAAAGCAGCTGCCCCTTGGGCCCCTCTGTCAGTATCTACCTCATGGGCCCGCCGGTGCTGCACCGGGGCCCACACACTAAGGGGGGCCATTGGCTGGCCCATGCATTCAGGGCCACCAAGTGGGAATTTCTGAGCAGGGGCCCAGTCGGGCGCTGTGGCCCTTTAACAACGGCAGATGGCTGGGAGGAAGTGATTGCCGTGAGTCACTTCCTCCCAGAGAGAGTGAAGCCACGGAGGGAGGAGGACGACGTCAGGAGGGGGCTAGAGTGCCGAGCAACTCACTCCCAACTACCTCAGCCTGCCACTCCCAACTACCTCAGCCTGCCACTCCCAACTACCTCAGCCTGCCAGGGAAGCCACACTCCTGAACCCATAAGGTAGGAAACACATACCTGTGTGTGTGTATAACAGTATGTGCGGCAGTGTATGTGTACATGTGCATACATCTCAGCATTCAAAACACCAACACTACACACAAGTACATCCCTGCATTCAAACTTCAACACTGCACAGTTCTGCATTGAAACGTCAACACTACATTCAAGCACACCTCTGTGTTAAACACCAAAAATATATGTAAACACACCCCTGCATTCAAAAACAAACACTACACATAAATGCATGCTTATATTCAAATGCTAACACCACATACAAACTCACCCGAACATTTACACAAACATACTCCATACAAAAACATGCTTACATTCAAACACAAAAACCAGCTTGAGTTCTGAGCCGGGACCCACCAAAGGGCAGGCTATTTCAGTTGCTGTCCGTTCTCAGAATACTCTTGCTACCTGTTTTTTGCTCTACACAAACACTGCTCAGTACCAAATACAACCCTGCAGGCATGGGAAAATGTTAGAGCCCAAGTTGTCAAAGCACTATTGGAGTTGCAAGACAGATGGGCATCTATCGTTTGGCCACCACTGCAATTGGGGGGCCAAAAAAATTCTTGCACCTGGGCCCTCTCTACTTTAGTTCCACTACTGCGTTGGGGAGTATCAAATGCTTGCCCATGGCCCAATCAATATTAAAACGGGCTCTGCTCATGTCTATGCATATAATATATTGAGTAGACACTCTCAGCATTACATTCACCAATTAAGCATCAGCCTACACATAGGGGAAAAAACTATTGTACTAGAAAAATGCTCGCCCACCACTGAGAGCTAAAGTTTCTAATAAGAAATGAAAGGTAATCTAGTACATGAAAAACACAAATTGCTTAGTAAAGCCCTGCATTGCTGGTGTAAAAAGTCACCTAAGAAAATAAGCTGGTCCGCTTTATGAAACTTTATATCACAGTCACACACAGTATATCCTAAGATATTTCTCTATTTCAAATTCACAACATCTATCAAACTGATAAAACTTCAAACACACATTTCTCCAACTGTTTGTTAGATAATCAGGTGATGATATCTTGGGACATAGTATGTGACTGTGATTTAAAGTTTAGTAAAGAGGACCAGTTTTCTTTTCATGTAAGCCAGCAATGCAGCGTTTCACCAAACAATTTGTTTAGTTCACATACTACATCTGTTAGAAAAGCTTTGCAAATTATTTATCTACAGAAATTTCCATTAACAAATATGGCAATTGTTGTGGATAAATCATTTGGAACGTTTTTCTAAGAGGCTGTGATCATTTGAAACATTCATCCAAATATCAGTTCTTATTAGAAACTTTAGGTACAAATTTTAAATTTACATTCTGAGACCTTTGTATCTCATTTTGCTGTGTAAATACTTTTTGGTTTTGGTAAGTTTTATTTTTGATGCTAAGGAATATGTTTAAAGTACATAAAAACAAAACATAGATTATATGTCTATATCAGTCCTCTGCAAGGTCTCCAATTATTTTGGTTTCACAAGTTGGATTACAAAGCAATGAATTTAATTGAGGGAGATTTGCTGCCATAGACACTAGATCCCAGAGTCGTTTGTATGTATGTCACACACCAGTTCTCTAGCTATAACTCGGGCCCAATTCTCATACGTTATACATCTACGCTGTAATCTAACTGAAGTCTGCTAGTCCAGCTAGGAGTTGCCTGGAAGTCCCTTTGAATCCTCCCCTGTCCCTATCCCGGTTCTATAATATATATTTTTTCTCTTGATCTCTGCCCAATGTGCCAGTGGGGGGTCCTACCCTGCGAGCATTCATTACTTTATAGCTGCACTTTCATGATTAGTTTTTTTCTGGAAAGTGAAAAGTATAAGATGTCATATCCTCACTTTTATGTAGGAATATTGCGGAGAACATGTGGTGTTTCCTTTTGCCATACAACTTATTCTTAGACATGATTGGGCTTTCAAAGTCTGGAAGATTTGCAACTATTTTGTCAATTGTGCCTAATATTATGTACCAATAATATGAATTGTTCTGGGAAAGAAAAGAAAAGAAAAGGAAAGGAAGGAAGGATAGATGAATTGTTCTGGGAAAGAAAAGAAAAGAAAAGAAAAGGATAGAAAGAAAAATGGAATCTAGCAGTTACATCTCAAATATGTTGTAAATATTTTTTATTCTGTATTGAGACAGGCTGAATCTGAATAGGTAACTCATAAACTGAAAGCACCTGTTACATTATGAGCTGCTTCGTTGGAAGACCATCTACTGAGTGTCACTCTATTTACAGAATGTATCATGTTCTAGCTGGTCCAGTTAATGTGATTCTAAATGTATTGTCTGGATATCCTGCATTTCAGCCAATATGGATTACATTCGCTCTAGCTATACAATCTTGTCACAAACCCTGCTTCTAGTTTATTACACATTCTTCTCACTGATAAACTGCAAGAGAAACTCGCAATACAATGTAAACCCTAACACTGACATTTTCTATGCTGATTTCTATATTGTAAAGCACACAGGATGATTTTTTACCAAACTCAGTGTCATTAATGTATAAACAACAAGTGACAGTCACAGTCTCTGTTCTTTCTGAAACTTGCTCAACACATGAGCTCTTACCCTCCCATTACTGTTCTTTCACCTTCACTCCTCCCCTCTATTTCAGCCCTCTTTCACACATTCACTTTGCTGAGAGCATCAGGGATCGGTGATAAAAGGAGCAGAGAAAAAAAATCAAAGAATCAAGAGAAGCAGAGGGAGGGATTGGTGTACTTCAATATCAGCAGCCTGGTATATCTTGGTGAGAAATATCTGTCTGCAGGACACT